TGTCCGTAAACTCAGACATCCATGAATGCGCATGTACATATTTATGAACACAGGCATACATATACACGCACCTGTATGAGCAGCACACACACACATACACACACACACACACACACACACACACACACACACACACACACACACACACACACACACACACACACACACACACCACACACACACACACACACACACACACACACACAACACACACCCTCACCCTCACACACACACACACACACACACACACACACACACACACACACACACACACACACACACACACACACACACACACACACACACAACACACACGCACGCACACACACACGCACGCACGTACATACATACATACACAATCGAAAATGAAAATAATATTAGTTATGTAGGAGTGAAAACGTTCTTATTTCATCATTACTGACCATTTTATTTCCTTCCCTCCCTACCTCTCCTCATCCTCCTTCCACTGCTCCTTCTCCTCACTCCCTCTTCTCTCCCTCGTGCTTCTCCTCTTTGTCCTCCTCCTCTTCCTCCTCGTCCTCATCTTATTTTCCTTTCTTCTTTTCATGCTTTTCCTCCTCACCTCTCCCCCCTCCACTTCCCTCCCCTCCCTTCTTCAAACCCTCTTCCGCCCCCCCCCCTTCAATACCCTCCCATCCCTCTCTCTACTCTCTCCTCTCCCCTTCCCTTTCCCCTCCCCTCCTCTTCTCACTTTCCTCCTTCTCCTCCTTCGTCATCCCTCGCTCTCTGTTTCCTCTTCCTTTCTCTCCCGTCCTCCTATTCCATCTTCTCTTTTATCATCTTTCCCGGTCTCTTCTCCTCCACATTCATCCACACTGCCTCCTTCTCCCCCTCTTCATTCTCCCAATCTACCCCGCTTCATCCTCCTCTTCTATCTCTTCCTCCCCCTTATCCTTCCCCTCCTCTTTCCCCAATCCTACTTCTTCTTCCCAACTGTTTCTTTCCCTCATACCCTACTCCCTTCCAAACCCTCCTCCATTCTCTCTCCCCCCTATCTCCCCTCTTTCCACACTCCCTCCTCCCTTCCTCCCACCACTCCTCCATTTTCTCCCCGCTATCTCCCTCCTTCCCCACCCCTCCCCTCCTCCATTCTCTCCTACCCCCTTTTCCCCACTTTCCACACCCCTCCTCCCCGCTCCTCCATTCTCTCCGCCCCTCCCCTATCTCCCTCCTTCCCACTCCCTCCCCCCCTCCTCCATTCTCTCCGCCTCCCTATTCCCCTCCTTCCCACTCCCTCCTCCGGCCCCCCCTCCTTCCCCCCCTCCTCCCTCCTCCATTCTCTCCGCCCCCCTATTCCCCTCCTTCCCCACTCCCTCCTCCGGCCCCCCTATATCCCTCCTTCCTCCTCCATTCTCTCGGCCCCCTCTCTCTCTTCCTTCCCCACTCCTCCTCCGTCTCCTCCCATCCCTCCTCCATTCTCTCCCCCCTTCCTCCCCCTCCAGGTAAGGACGAGACAGGGCGTCCGTGTGGAGTGCACTGGGAACTGCGCGTGTATGTTGGGGACAGCACGGAGGAGCAGCCTCACCGCCGCTCCTGCGTCAGACTCCTCATCAGGTGGGTCTCGGTGGTCTGCATGTTGTTGTTTGTGTTGTTGTTGTTCTTGATTATTGATTATGTACGTAGGTTGCATCTTTTTGTTTCACTGGTATATGTAAATTACTTGAGCGTACTATCTGTTGGCTGGGTATGTACAAGTTTGTGTATATGGATGTAATTGTGCACACAATGTTTCTTTATACACGAATGCATACAAGCCTGTTTGCTGCGCACACGCACACACACACACAACACACACCCACACAGACACACATACACATACACATACACACACACACACACACACACACACACACACACACACACACACACACACACACACACACACACACACACACACACACACACACACACACACACACACACACACACACACACACACACACACACCACACACACACACACACACACACACACACACACACACACACACACACACACACACACACACACACACACACACACACACACACACACACACACACACACACACACACACACACACACACACACACACACACACACGAAACGCACATACATACATGCACTTTGCGTACGCTTGTCAACGGCAGGCTATTTAGTACTCGAAAAATATGCTGCATCGACGAGGTCTGCATAAGACACATATCGGGATGAGCGGTTTAGCTCCAATGGCTTGTGTTTTTTATTTCCGCTGTTGTTGCTTCCGCCTCGTACTTTCTTTCATTGGTGTGTATTTGATTTTAATATTTCCTTCTCTTTGTTTGGTTTCCTACTCTTCCTTCTTGAAAAACTCCACCTCCTTTACCCTTCTCCTTTCTCCCCCGTTAGGCGTCTCCAGTACGCTCCGGCGAAGCAAGGGCGACAACCCGTGGCGTCGTGTGCAAAGGAATTCCTCCTGTCTCCGGGCAAGCTGCATCTCCAGGTCACTCTCGATAGGCAGGTAAGGAGGAGGTGAGAGAGAGAGAGAAGAGAAAAAACGAGAGATTAAGGAGGGAGAGGGAGAGGATGAGAGAGAGGGAGAATGAGAGGGAGAGGTAGGAGGAGGGAGAGGGAGAGGGTGAGAGAGAGGGAGAGGTAGGGAGAGAGAGAGAAGAGAAACAGCGAGAATGAAGAGGGAGTGGGGAGAGGTGAGGGAGTGGGAGAGGGTGAGGGAGAGGGAGAATGAGAGGGAGAGGTAGGAGGAGGGAGAGGGAGAGAAGAGAAACAGCGAGAATGAGGAGGGAGTGGGAGAGGGAGAATGAGAGGGAGAGGGAGAGAAGAGAAACAGCGAGAATAAGGAGGAGTGGGAGAGGAGAATGAGAGGGAGAGGTAGGGTGAGGGATAGAGAAGGAGAGGGAGAGGAAAAGAGAAGGAGAGGGAGGTGGGGATAGAGAAGGAGAAGGGAGAAGGAGAGGGAGAGGGAGAGGGAGAGGGAGGAGGGAGAGGAGAGGGAGAGGGAGAGGGAGAGGGAGAAGGAGAAGGAGAAGGAGAAGGAGAAGGAGAAGGAGAGGAGAGGAGAAGGAGAGGAGAAGAGAGAGAGAGAGAGAGAGAGAGAGAGAGAGAGAGGAGAGAGAGAGAGAGAGAGAGAGAGAGAGAGAGAGAGAGAGAGAGAGAGAGAGAGAGAGAGAGAGAGCGACGAGAAGAGAGAGAGAGAGAGAGAGAGAAAGAGAGAGCGAGAGAGAGGAGGATGAGGTAAGGTAAGTTTCACGTGGACAGTATGTGCGTCGTGGCAGTGGGCGTATTTCAGTGTGTTGATTTTATATGTCATTTGTTGCGTTTGTATGTCACGTGTGTGTGTTGGGTTCACGTGTGTTTGTGTGTATTGGATTAGTATGTGCTGTGCATTGAGTTTGTATGTTGGCTTTGTAGATATGTAGGTTATGTGTGTGTTGTGGTCTGTGTTTCGGGATTGTGCGTTGGGTACGAGTGCACTATGTATGCTTAGTTGTTTGTATGTTTGTGTTAGGTTTTTGAGTGTTTATGGTAGTTTAGGTTGGGGGATGACACCGTCTTTGTGACTCTTGTTGTATTATTATGAAGGTAAAAGTTAGATGACACACCTAGAAAAGGCAAATATAATTACAAGCAAATTTATTAATGAATCAAACAGTAAATAAGAAAACTGAGTTATTAAACCATGGAATGTAGAGACCGAAAAACAAGAGACCTCCAACAGCCGAGCTCTTGGTAGGGGGGGGGAGGAGAAAAGAAAGAAGGAAAAGAAACGTACGTAATAAGAGCGGAAACAAAACACAAAAATACACAAATGTATAGAATACAATTTTTCATCCAGCAGCGTGATTCACAGAGATATGAAATGAAGACTTTTGTTTTGTTTTCTTTATGCCTTTTTTTTTTACCTTAGCGTTATTTTATTATTATCATTTTTCTCAAGTTCTCATCAACATGCAAATTCCACAGAGGATGAGAAAAAGGAGGGAGGGGAGGTGGAGGGAAGGAGGAGGTGGAGGGGAAGGGGGAGGTTCACCCATTAAAGAAAGACTGTAAAACTGTGATGGGAAAGATAATGATAGTGATTATGGCATGCTGATGGTGATGATGCTGATGGTGCTAGTGATTGTGATGGTTATGGTGATGAGGATGATAATGATTTTGGTGAGGATGACGATGATGACGAGGATGAGGATGATAATGATGACGATGAGGATGAGGAAGATGAGGGTGATGGTGATGATGATAAGGTTGATAATGAGGATGAGGATGATAATGATGACGATGATGATGATAATGAGGATGAGGAAGATGAGGGTGATGGTGATGATGATGAGGAGATAATGAGGAGGAGGAGGAGAAAGATGATGACGATGAAGATGACGATGACGATGAGAATGAGGATGATAAGATGATTATAGTAACGGATGATGATGGCAATGATGACAAGCACAATGGTAATATTGATAAGGATTAGAATAAACATTCTAGTGATGATAATGATAACATTGGTACTTTAAGAAACATGCTATGTTCATGTTAAGGATTCCAATATTGCTGCTATAAATAACATGGTAAAAACACCAATAAGAATATATCCTTCATAAAAAACAGGGGGGAGGGGAGGGGGATTAGTGGTCGAGGTGTTGCAGTTAAGGAAGGTCATTTGATCTTATCAGGTCATGACCTCCGATACCGGAGTCGTTATGCAACAGGTGTGATGGCGTGTGGTCTTACGTTTATTTGTATGTTTTCTTTTTTTCATTTTTTTTGTTAGCTTTTATGTTTTATTTTTGTTTCTGTTTTGTTCATGGTATTTTTCTCTTCCGATTTCTTATTTTCTGTTCGTCTTCCTTTCTTTGTGTATTTTTCCCCTTTCTCTTTTTTCATCCCTCCCTCACCTTTTTTTTTCTTCATTTCCCTTTCCTTTTTCGCCTGTCCCTTCCCCATCCCCTTTCATCTCCTTCTTCTTTCCCCTCCTTTCCCACTCCCATACTCACTTTCTCATATTCCCATTCCTACTCCTTCCTTCTCCTCCTCCTCCTCCTCCTCCTCCTCTCTCCTGCTCCTCCTGCTCCTCCTGCTCCCCTCCCTTCCACCTCCACCTCTCCTCCCCTTCTCCTCCTCCTCCCTTCCGCCTCCTATCCACCTTCCCCCTCCCCCTCCTCCCTCTCCTCCTCCTTCCTCTCCTCCTCCTCCTCTTCCTCTCCTCTTCCACCTCCACCTCCACTTCCACCTCCACATCTCCTCCCCCTCCCCCTCCACTCCCTTTCACTTCCACCTCTCCCTCTCCCTAACCTCCTCCTCCCCTCCACCTCCCCCTCCTCCCTCCTCCTCCTCCTCCTCCTCCTTTTTCTCTTCTTCTAAAACCGCTATTCCTTATTCCCGAATGGATGGAAAAAAATCGGAAGAGGCAGTGGAGTGCAACGACCCCGGATATTATATGGGTCGCGGGTGATAGACCTTCAACAGCAATAAGAAGAGAGAGAGAAAGAAAGAAAGATGTATATATAGAGAGAGATAAATAGATCGATAGATAGACATAAAGATCGATAGATAGATAGGTAGGTAGGTAGGCAGGTAGATAGACATAGATAGATAGATAGATGGGTAGGTAGGTAGATAGATAGATAGATAGATATATAGATAGATAAATAGATAGACAGATAGGCAGATAGATAGATAGATAGGTAGGTAGATAGGCAGATAGACAGATAGATAGATAGATAGATAGATAGATGGATAGATATATGAATAGACAGATAGATAGATAGGCAGACAGATAGATAGATAGATAGATAGACAGGTAGGTAGATAGATAGACTGATTGATTGATTGATGGACAGATAGATATATAGGTAGATAGATACATAGATAGAGAGATATAAAGATAAACAAATAGAAACATACATACATAATACATAAATAGATCGACAGACAGACTATCAGGCAGACTATCAGTTATATTTGATAATGAGACGCAGGCAGAGGAAATAAAGAGAGAAAGAGGAAAAAGAAACAGGGGAATAAGAAAGATAGATAGATAGATAGAGAGAGAGAGAGATAGAGAGAGAGAGAGAGAGAGAGAGAGAGAGAGAGAGAGAGAGAGAAAGAAGAGAAGAGGAAAGAAAATCGCAAAATATCCTTGAGAAACGCACCGCTCACTCACCAGCTTCCAGCCAATGATGCTGAGTCGCCAAGATCAAAGCATCTCTCCGATTATGGGAAAAGTTTGGCCAACGCTCAAGTTTATATCCATTATATCTATTGTTTTTTCTCTCTTTTTTTTAAAAGAGAGAAAGTAAATAAATTGGTGAGCAACGGGTGCCTTTTTTTAAGGGAGTGGGAGGAGGAGGAGAGATAGGGAGAGGAAGGGAGGAGAGATAGGGAGAGGAGGGAGGAGAGATGAGGAGGAGGAGAGTAGGGAAGAGGAGAGATAGAGAAGAGGGAGGAGAGATAGGGAGAGAGAGGAGAGATAGGAGAGGAGGGGAGGAGAGATAGGGAGAGGAGGGGAGGACAACGGGAGCGGAAGTTAGAGGAAGGGTTTATCATGATTTTTTAAAATTATTTCTATGGTTATTATTACTATTGTTATGAACCGTATTCATGTTGACAAATGCATAAAAGGTATGAGTGAGAATGGATATCTTCACAATATTCGTCAGAAATACATGAAATACCAATGTTATTGTTAGTGTTATTTTTATTGTTGTTATTATCATTTTCATTATAATCATCATTAGTATTATTATCATCATTGCTATTATCATTATTATTACAATAATTGTTATTACTATTATCATTATTATTGTCACTCTCACTCTGATCGTCCACGTCTTACTCCTTCTCCTCCTCTCTCCTCCTCCTTCTAATCCTTCTCCTTCTCCTCCTCCTCCTCCTCCTCTTTCTCTTCTTCCTCCTCCTTCTTCCTCATACTCCTCCTCCTCCACCTTCCTCCTTCTCCTCTTTCTTCTTCTTCTCCTCCCTCCTCCTCCTCCTCCTCCTCCCTCCCTCCTCCTCCTCCTCCTCCTGCTCATCTCCTCCTCCTCTTTCTTCCCTCCTTCTCCTCCGTCTCCTCCTCCTCCTTCTTCTTCTTCTTCTTTTTCTTCCTCTTATTCTTCTCAACCTCCGCCTCCACCTCCTCCTTCCTCCTCCTCCTCCTCCTCTCCTCCTCCTCCTCCTCCTCCTCCTCTCCTCCTCCTCCTCTCCTCCTCCTCCTCCTCCTCCTCCTCTCCTCCTCCTCCTCCTTCTCCTCCTCCTCCTCTTCTCCTCCTCCTTCTCCTCCTCCTTCTTCTTCTTCTTCTTCTCCACCTCCACCTCCTTCTTCTATTCTTTCAAGTTCCATTGTTTCCTCCGGATGTCTGAGGAATCTGTAACAAAGAAGGGGAAGCGAAGGAACTGATAAAAGGAAGAGAAGGAAAAGGATGTGAGGAAGGAGAGACGGGGAGGAAACGGACAGGAAATCGAGGAGGGAGAAGAAGAGGGAGGAAAAAAGATAAATGAAAGAAA